CATCTAGAAGCATCACATCCCATGTGCCATAAAAGAGCTATAAATACCGCCCTTTGCATTCATTTCAAGATATGAGTTTCTCTCATTAAACTTCCCTCCAAAAGTAGCACACCCCAACCTCTCTCTTCCCTCTCATTTTGGCGCGCCCCAAACTCTTTTATTCTCTCTCTAAACTCCATCTTCAAATTTTAGAAGAGAGCAGCCATCTTCCAGGGAAATTCGAGTTCCACTAATGGCATCAAAGTGTTATAGCTCATTCCATGGATCAACAAGTCAAAGTGACCTTTTATTATTTGAGTAAGCCCTTTCATTCTGTCTTTTAGAGCATCTATTCTCTGCGGTAATTCTGAAATTCCAGCAGAATTACAATCTCCTTTGGTGATCAATCCTTAGCCATTTGATTCTCCTTATGTTATTTCTTGATCCATGTTCAATTCCCAATTGAATTTTTGAACCTTTTATTGACTGATTTCTCTGAGTTTTCTAACCCACGTTAGTCACTTAGATCACCTCATCAGCATCTTGAATTGTCCAATTTTCAAAGGGAGACTATATCAAATTTCTAAGTGCCATTTTGTGAAGAAACTAGATCCGGTTTTGTATTCGAAAGCCTCGGATCACTCGCATGATTTTTCCACTAGTAAGATCCTTTGAACCTGTACAAATACCTCTCATAAATATTATATACATCAGTAGATGATTGGCTTCCTATTTCTTAAATGATGAATTGGCCCGAATTTATGTGATGTCAACACATGTCACCCATTGGCACATAGCTAAGACCCTTGGTTGTAAACCGAGCACCCGAGAGCTCTATTTGGCTTCCCATGATCTTGTTGCACAATACACTTAAGCAATCACATATTGATGTACTGAGAATTGTATTATGATGAATTTTCAAGTGTCACATGATGTATAATTTGGCATTGTAAAATTGAGTGTTGCCCAATTTTTAAGAGCACACTATTCATGTGTAGTTTTGTAATAATCCTTCATGGATAGTCTTGTACTTGTGTAAGGGACCTAAATAGAGTTGTATCCTCTCTTCTAAAGTGTATTTTGAAGCCAATGTATCTATGTAATAGCAGCAACCTTGCTGTAATTTTGATTTGAGGGTGTAATTCAAACGTAATGAGTGAAAATTTCTAGTTGTATTGTCTAGTCTTGTTTTACTTTGTTCTCCTCAATTGAGATTTGGTTTCTAACATAGTTTCAAAAAGCAGACCGTCCAGCATTTGGGCGGTTGCCTAGGCGGATACCCCAGGGCGCCTGCCCAAGGCCTGCACCCCACCCAGGGGTGAAAATGCAGCTCCTTGAGGGTATGTTTGGGTCATTTTTTTAATACTAAAAGGGTAAAATTGTGGGTTTTAGGTTCATTTGAAACCTAAAAGCCATTAGAAGCTATTTTAGAGAGAAAACCCAAAAAAAAAAAATTTCTACTAGGCCGCTTAAGTTTTGTGTGCCCGCTTAGGCGCTGGGCAGCCTGGACCTCCCCGACCGCTTAGGTGCCACCTAGCGATTTTTGAAACACTGGTTTCTTATACACTCAATATTGGCACATACCTTATGTTTTATAGAATTATTTAATCATTTAAAATTTTTGGCGAATTTGAGTTTTAGATATTTTTGGCTTAAAAATGTGAATTTCAGCAAATTACTGTGAATATAGAGTCAACACAAAGTTAAAACTTTGGAGGGATGCTCTAGAATCTAAAGGTTTAAAATAGTTGGACTAAGACAAAGTATATGGAGTGCAAGTTTAGCAACAATAGGAGTAGAGACGAGGAAGTAGTCAAGATTGATGGTCAGAAAGTATAGAAAAGACCGCACTTTCGTTATCTTGAGTCAATAATCCAGAAAAATTGAGAGATCGAAGAAGATGTCGCACAAGCTGGGTGGGCGAAGTGGAGATGTGCAACTGAAATTTTATGTGATCGCCGCATACTAATGAAGTTGAAGGGCAAGTTCTATAGGACAGCGGTGAGATCAGCTTTACTTTATGGGGGCGGAATGTTCGGTGGACAAAAACTAATATACCCATAGAATGAGTATAGCAGAGATGAGGATATTGAGATGGATGAGTGGCAAGACAAGAAGGGATAGAATTCGAAATGAATCTATTAGAAAGAATTTAGGTGTGGCACCAACAGACGATAAAATAAGAGAGAGTAGACTTAAGTGGGTTAGACTCGTATGATGCCAACCAAGTACAACACATGTTAGGAGGTGCGAGTTAGTTCAAATGGAAGGACAAAAAAGGACAAAGGATGGGTCCAGAAAGACGTGGTTGAAAGTAGTCTGAAAATATATGAGGACTTGTGGTCTCACTGAGGATATGGCCTTTAACATAGAAAAATGGAGAACCGGAATTCATGTAACAAACCCCAACTAATTGGGAAAAAGCTAAAATGATGATGATGATGACTGTGAATAAGGTAAAAACAGTTTTTCAAAACGACAAACTTGCATGCAAAATTTCCTATAGGTCTATCTCATGTAACTTTTGAAAGAAGGACTTGTGTGATCTAGTCGGAGTATATATTCCTTTTTTCTCCTTCTTTTCTATTCTTTTTCTTTTTCTTCACGGCTTAGAGCAATCACAAATAGTCCTTTTACAATAAATCAACTTCAAATAAAATAAAAGAAATAAATCTAGAATCTCAAAACTTGATGCTACTGTAAACCTTTCTTATAATAACCAAAGAAAACCACAACCTCTGCTTGGGAATAATAAAAGACATAATAAGTAAATATGACAAGAAACAAAAAGAGAGTACCGGAGATTACCACAACTGGGCTTCTTACACTCCACATCGAGTCACCTCCTTCCGATGGCGCAAGATCAACGGTCAACCTTCAATATCAATCTTGGGAAAGCAAGTTTAGGTCAAACTCTCCAATGGAACAAGAACTCCTTTCAATCACAAAATCTCAAACTTAGGTAGAACCCCTTGATAACTTAGTTAAGAGAGATAACATCTCCTTTCTACACCCTAAACCCTTTAGCCATAACTCAACAAGATGGGAGAGAGAGATCAAGGCACCATGAGTGGGGCATGCCCCTTCCTTACCACAGGGGGGAGAGAGAGAGAGAGAGTTTCCTTCTAAGTGGGGCATACCCCCTATTTTTCAAAAGAGAGAGATAGAGAAATTGGTATAGAGAATAATGGATAGGGTCCATCCCTTTTTATAGTGCTTCAAGGGGTTTTAGGGTCTCTTAGGATTTTCTATGGCTTGCCTCTTCATGTGAGATTGAATATGCACCATTGATCGTGGGTGACTTGTGGGGTGAGAAATATAAGCCATCCATTCCATAGATAGATCATCAAGATCATATGGAAGATGTTAGAACCTTTTTCTCCCATTCTTAAACTATTTTCCCATCAATTAAAATAAATAAAAAAATAATAATGTTTTGCTTTCCATACTCGTGCACAAGCCTCTTCACACATTCCTTATTAGGTTTCAAAGCTCTTCAAAAATCCAATCTTTCCAAAACATTTAATATCCTGGGCTTCAAGCCAAAAAATTTGATCACAATAAAATGGAAAGATCCAAGAGGTGCCACCCATGATGGCATCTCATTGGCCCCACCAACTTGTCATGGCAGACCCATGTGCACAAATGGGCCCCCATGTAATTTCAAATAATTTTAAATTAAAATAAATATTTTAAAAATTTATTAAATTCATTTGAATATTCAAATCAATATAAAATCAATATCTTTATTTTTATAAATCCAAATTTTATAAATAAAATACCCAAAGATTCAGTAAAATTCAAATAACAATTCTAAAAATAATATAACATCAAAACAAACACAAGTAAATACTTTTGATGGGAAAATAATCCTTATGGTTTAGGAATAAATAAATAAACACTGGAGCACTCCACCTTCTACTATGGACTACGGTCCATACATGCTTTCTCAAACCGGGCCAATGTCGTCCATGACCCACAGTCCATGCAGGAGCTCATTAGTGGGTCACCAACGTCTAGCCAATGGGCAAGGGGTCATAATCCCAGTTTATAGATTTCAGGTTCTCCACTAGAGACGTACCAAGGTCACCTAGACCTGATGTAATCCACAGCTCTATGGTGCATAAGGGTAATCTCTCGCACATGCACAAGCTTCACCCTGAAAGGTGGTTCGCTTTCTCGAAACGGCTATCATACGTGCATGCCATGTGATGGTACGCAGATGAGGCTTTGGTCCCCGTCTCTAAAGGCCACCATCACACGCAAGGGCCACACAGTCCCTCCGCTCACTCATCCGGGCATACTCTGACCGCATCAAGGGATGACTCATTACAACCCTTATCGGTTTAATCTCTATGCCTAGGTAACATGGGTTTTTCCCACCAGCTGGCATAGCACGTCATGCACAGTCTAGTATCAACAAATATTGTTTACTTAGCATGGTCCACACAGGACCACACTCCTACTGAGTTCATGTTCCATTATATCAAAAGTTCAAACACAAGCATTCATAAGGCTATTAATGGCCACATATATCCAACCACTTTATAGTGGGCACTGCCAAAAATAAATAATAAATTATCAACATGAATTTAATTGAAACACTAAATTATCAATAATAATGAGTACATCCAAACATGCCCATAGAGTTGTGCATTTCTAGAGTCTTTCATCACATGCACGTGTATCTTTGTTTCTCACAAAGGTTGTAGAATGCTTTCTAAGGTCATATGAAGTAGCAGCCCTGTCAAGCACTAATAGGACCTTCCATGGCTAGGTGGCTTATTCTAGTGTACTCAAATTTGAACTGCCTAGACAGAGAAGTGATTATTTTCAATCCCAAATATTCTTGCTTCAACCATTTCAGATAAAAAATGAATAACTGGTTATTTTCCAAATTGCAGCATTCCAAATCAAAATTTTATGCATCCCGTGGAAGGTTGTAAGAGTACAACTCACATAGAGTACATGAGACCATCCCCAAAAGCTTCTAGACATTTATAGAACTAAACATTGAGTACCTGAAATCCAGTATTGACGCGGTATATACTATAATCAAGGCCGGCAATTTGAGCATTGTAAGCTGTAAGTTGACAAAACGAAATCAGCTCAGTTATTCAAAATGACATTAATTAGATCATAAGAAATAAAAATATATGAAAAGTAATAAAATAGGAGAGATAATGCCTGAAAAAATTTAGTCTTAAGATTTTGTGGACAGATGTATACCAAAATACTCCATGAAGAAAAGTATCAAACGATGCACACAATACAAAGCCACAGTTCCATAAGCTTCTAACAAGATACACATACTTAGATAAGTAATGTCCATGTCTTAGGGTTTTCAAATACTTAAGCATATATCAAAGATCCTTAAGAAATACTACTCACAAGATGGTAAAAATAAATACAAGTATGGATGAGGTTACAGTTTCCTTTTCATCAACAATATTAAAGGAACCTACTCATAATTAATGGAAGTCCGAATGCTTAAAATGTTGCACATATGAACCCATGGGATGGGCTTGATAGAGAGTGAGAGGGATTAATTGTACGGCCTTCAAAGGCCACGTGGAAGATGCTTGGCTTGTGACCTTTAAAGCCAACGAGAGCATGTAAAAATAACAAATATACTGAATTGTGTACTTCAGTAGGAGTACTTTGCTGTTGGTTGGCTGACCTAGGGCTGGGCAGTCTATGGCCCAAGTCATGTCCAAAACCCTTTCTTTGTCCCTAAGCATATGCACTACGATTGAGGGTTTTCTAAAGGGTCATCACTTGTTGGTTGAGGGTTTCCATGGCCACGTCCACCACCTCATCTCCAAAAAGTCCTCCACCTCGATTACCACTAAAACTTGTGAGTAAGGAGAATATTTCAGATTCACCCATAGACACTGCCATTATTTTGCGTCGAATTTCTTCACGCTGAAGAAAGGAGATAACAGTACCAAGTGATGGCAAAGTCTCGCCACTGAGAACATTTGCCCTAATTGTTTCATACTCTCCATTAACTCCCCTCAAAAAATAAAAAATCTTCCTTTGTGCAAGTATGACTTTGTTTCCTTGCACAAAAAGAATATTGTATGGGCTGATGCTGGCTTAATTCATCCCAGAGACTATGTAGATGAGCATAATAGTCTTCCAGTGACAAATCATCCTATTTAAAATCATTGATCTGCAGCTCCAATTCATAAAGCCTTGCAATATTTTTCTTTTGGGAATAGGACTCAAACACTACCTCCCATAGAAAATATTATCCAATTTATAATAGCCATATCTTCACCCTCCCAGTTTACATATTTAGCATCCTTAAGATCAGGTTTTTCCGTACAGCCTGTATCCCAGTTTTTCTCTGACCTAGCCCATTCTCAATAGCTAGTTCCATCAAACCTAACCGTGGTGATATGTCATCATTATCTTCATCATCAGAGACTTATCCCAACTATTTGGGGTTGGCTATACGAATCTTGTTCTACCATTTTGCTCTATCAAGGGCCATACCCTCATTATGACCATAAGTCCCCATATTTTTTTATCACTACTTTCATCCATGTCTTTTTGGCCTTCCCCATGCCTTTTTAGAGCATTCTACTTGAATCAAATCGTACTACATAACAGGTGTTGTATTGGGTCGCTGCACATGGCCAGCCCACCAAAATCTACTTTCCCTCATCTTGCCCATTGGATCCACTCCTAAGTTCCCTCGAATGTATGCATTCCGAATTTTATCTTTTCTTGTCTTGCCACTCACCGACAGTCTCATTCAGTTACATTCATCCTATGGGTATGTTGTTTCTTGACCGCCCAATATTGCGTCCCATAAAGCAAAACTGGTATCACAGCTGTCTTATAGAACTTCCCCTTCAGCTTCATTGGTATACAGCAATCACATAACTCCTACTGCATAGCTCCACTTTGCCCACCTATCACTAATTTTATGTGCAACATCTTACTCAATCTCTTCATTTTCTTGGATTATTGACCCAAGATACCGAAATACTTTCTTTTATGTGTATCGAATCATCAATCTTAGGTACTTTTTCTAGATATCGGAAATACTAGACCCTTGCGTTCTTTTGCTCTTCTTCTTCTTCGTCTTCTTCTTTCTCTCTCTCTCTCTCCTCCCCCCCCTCCCCCCCTTGGATGACAAAATATCAAACTTCCAATAGCAATCTATAACAATTCAATAGGTGAACTTTCTAACCTTCAAAAAAATGCAAGTCTAGGATTCTACAGCCTAATGTCTCTCTCTAATACATAATCTACGTGCAAACAAAAAAGGAATAAGGCAATTATCTTTCTAAATCAAGTAATGGATATTGATATGCTGAAAATAACTTTTTTTTTGGGTAAGTCAATTGGGGAGAAAGCCCCCTACCTGTTTTTTCATTAATAAAATAGCAATTTTTTTTTTTTAATAAATATGCTGAAAATAACTTCCATAAGGCATTCTACAAATTTTCAATCCTAGTTCCATAGAAAAAGTCCTTTCTGGCAAATAAAACTTTCAATCAGCTTCAATTGAGATTTAAGGTGTCAGCCAAAATCTAATCAAACTAGGAAGATAAGATAAAACCTACTCAATTTAGGGTTTTCTACAAAAAGACAACTCTTCATTAATTTTTTGGGCTTTCCAGAAAAGACAACCTTGATGCAGATGAACTAGAAAATTTCACATGAAGACAACAAATTGTGAGAATATTGAGTCCAAATCGAGACATTTGAGTGATTACTAATTTCAAACTGGAAAGCCATATAGGTGCCTACTAAATTCAAGAATGAGAGCCAACAGCATGGTTTGGATTGGCAGTAACAAAACTAGTAGTTAGAAAGTAACTTCTGAAATCTTGAAATATTTTCAACAGAGAATACAGAAACAATCTTCCTTTCGGAAATAATGCCTTTACGTATCACAGGAAAAAAACCACGATGAAAGCAAACTATGGAGACTACTTTCAATCGATTTCAGCTCTATCACTCAGACATCAGACTGGAAAGCTGCTACTGGCTTACCATATTCATTTAGATAGTCAACTATTAATCTTGTAAAAATGGCTTTAAAAACTCTAGCTTCAGGAGAATGGGCAGACTCAGGACAATTGAAGTCGATCTTCACAAAAGCCTTCGGACTGAAGAACATGGTATCTGCTTTGAACCATAGTCTTGAAAAGGAGGACTTCCTCAGTAGAACAGGATATTTAGCCTGTTTGAGACATAAATTACACTAATTTTAGCTCTAGAATAAAAAATCTCTTAAAATAGGACAAAAGGTAAATAAGGACTCTCTAATATATTTAGCCTGGTTTAGACACAAATTCATAAGGAGGATTTCCTCAGTAGAACAGTAGTGATTTACCTTTTCTAGTCCATTTTTAAGAGACAAATCAGTGGGTATAAACATATTTGGTGCCGGTAAACTTAGCTTGTCATTGGGAGCTCCATCTATCCATCGCTGCAAGGGACAATTTTTATTCTGCATGTTAGAGTTGCCTGACAAGGACAAAATAAGATGCAGATGTGAAGGCAATTACCTGGAGAATAGGCCAAATTAAACAATTAATTGCATTTCTCAAATTACCAAAAAAAAAAAGAAAAATTACATGTATAATACACCACCACACAAAACCTGAATCAAGATGTCACTGATCTTTTCAACAGTGTATGCAGTTCCATACCACAGCTCAGTCATGTTGGTACATGCGTCAAATTTCTTTGATTCCCAAAAGATTCTGTTTAATTAGAATGGCAAGATGAAATACAGGTAAATTACACATGATAGGATAAAACAAGTTCAATGATCCAACCAAAATCTCTCTCTCTCTCACTCTCTCTCTCTCTGAGTATTATTACAATAAAGAATCGGAGACAGAAAGACAAGAAAAGGATAACTGTAGCACAATCTCAAAGTAGAACTACTGCGAAATTCATGTCACAATATTGTAACAATTGAAATATTTGATGAACGTCTCACTGGGGAATTTTGGAGAATCTGAAGTCTCTATATGCAGTTAATTTGGGCACTTCAAAGGCATTTTTTTATTCTTCCCTCATGCTAGGTACTCGTGAGAAGGTTCTATGGTCTACTAACTAATGCAATTCTCTTCCATGGTTCTCCATTCCTGAGTGCATGTCATTAAATGTTTTTCTCCTCTAGCTATCCATATTCCAGTAGTCGATAATCAGAATTAAGTCTGCATATTACTACCATTCTAGACAATTTGCACAGAGAGATGCAGCTTAATCTCTTAAAAAGATGATAAGGTATTCAGAATATATAAGATGTGTCAATGTGCCGCGAGAGCATAAACAACAACAGCTGTACTCCTGAGCATATATAAAACAAGCTTGTACCATAAAACTACAAAATTAACTCTTGTAAGTGTTACCTAACATTTTTTGGAGTTAACTCTTCTAATATCCCCCGTATACTATCTGGGTTGAACACAGAAAGAAGGGATGATGCTGCTAGCCAATCCTGTGGTGGGTAGAACTGGATACACAATAGTATGGAAGTATCAAAACAAGCAAATAGTAAGAGCCAATATTTCAGTGTTACTAGTAGAGAAAACTCAAATATACATATGCAACAATAGTGGCACATGCCTTTTCATGCAACCCAAATTGACACCATAAATGACAACTCTGTACTTAAGTACCCTATCTGTGTTTCCTGGAACGTATATGAGGAATAAAATAAAATAAAAAACAACCATTGCTGTCTCTCAGCATCAGAACAACAACAGAAGAGACTATAAAAATACCTTTTTGTTAAGCCAATTGAACTAGAAGCCATTCAAACGAAGATCAACAATTATAAATGTCAAGTAGATACAATCACTTCCACAATAATCAAATTTATAAATATAATCTGAAATCCTATATACAGATCCTCCTTCTGACGCATCTGACCAAAAAAGTAATGCAAATGGAGCACAGGGCATCATAATGGTCCTCAATGCTCCATTAGATCAGATACTTCCAAGTAATTAGGATGAGAGATGTAATGACAATTCAAATATGATGTACAAGCAACAATGTCAATAACCTTATAGATTAAAAATCCAAGTAAAGACTGCATACCCAGGCAAGATTTCCTGATAAAACTGAAAAATATGCACCTATCTGGCAATATAGACCAATACTGCATATTTTCTTTCAGCCTTTAAACACCACATAAAACCTAGTTACACCCTTACGACGACAACGCAATTATAATGACAAATGGATGCATTAAGATGAAGATGTTGTGATGAAAAGGACATTTGTCCATGCTGCATGGATACTACAAATGAATGCCATGTCTTTGGTCATATTCAAAATATATGTAAGATTATGAAAATATACAGCCTTACACAAGGCCATATCCATGCATCATACACTCACGGTTCCTAATTTGCTGCTCCTATAGCACAACATCAGGCTTTTATGCCTATTCAGTCAATAAAGAGAAGGTCGATAAAGAAAAGTAACATACTCAAACTTCTGGATTAATTTTCAAGTTGTTCGGTTTTGAGGCATATAAAATGTAAAGGCTGAGGTACCCATTGCAAATTATCATTAAGTGACGGTCATGAAAAGGTAGTAATGACATTATGGATTCATGGTACAATACCATATCAGCAGATAATGGCCATTATGTTTATGCTTATATGTATAGAGATGTAATTATAATTTATCAATAACAATATTTAGTAATTCAGTAGTAATATTATCGATTAGAAAGATAGTTAAATAACATATTATAAAATATTCATCTTTTGTGATGATTCGTTAGCTATGTCCACACATAGCACATTTCAGAATGCAAACCCAAAAGTATTGCTGCCTCCAGTAATTTGAAAAGAGAATAATGATGATATACCCATTGTCATTTTAATGCAAGCATCAACTTGCACACTACAGGTGCGTATATCGAGTCAAAACTTCGGCTATGCCCCAATATACATGCATGGATATGCCAGGATAACATGGCTGGGCCCATTGATGAAACCACTATACCATGTGGGAACATGCTGCTAGGAAGAACTTGCAAGCAAACTGGACAAGTTAAAAAAAACTTGGCCACTCTAATCCAGCAGCCTGTGATATTCATATACCCATTTGGCCTTGACCTCAATTGGCGAACGTGCTGACTTTTGAAATACCGCATCCTAAGTTCAAGTCCTATGGTTGAAATACCCAATAAAAAATTATGGCATTTGGACCATACGAACCCAATCAGAAAGAAAGAATACAGAAGCATGGATAGCAGTCGCATCCAGCCGTGACATGAATAGCAAAGATTATGCTATGATCATGCATAGAAAACATAGAGAAATGCAGCAAGGAGAGCAAGGTGTCATCACATCTTATTGGTTTAAGCTAATTCAACACATACAAAGAATTGGTTTTTTCTTGGTAAAATATGTAAAGCACTCTTGAAGTTTTGGATATTCATCTCCTTCCTCTATGTTGTTGGTGTGGCCACGTTTTTTAGAGCAGGAGCCAAAGATATACCTTGGTAATGACCAAATATTCCAATCCACTATACACAGCTTGGAAAAAAATTTACATCAGGATTGCTTTCCATTCCTTGTTCCGTTCAAATGAGATTCTCAAATTACATTGACTCAAACTTAAGGCATAGAAAAAGAGCTAAGCTAAGATGCACAATACAATAGCATAAGATGTAACAAAAACTATTGATCTCTCTGTTTATGAAATGAATTCCAATTATCCAGTAAGTACAACTTACAACTTCAAGCAATCTGATATAATTAAGTACGATGTATTGCTTACCAACATGTTACAAGCAATTGCAACCACATGATGAATTGGGGGGAATTTGTCTTGAAAATGAAACATAGTCTCCCCAATGGCACAAATCTTCAAGCACAGAAGACATCACGTCAGCATGGTAACAAATAGCATAAGTGATAGAAAAAGCATAACTAGCATAATTAAGATACGAGCATGTCAAGAAGCAGCATGATACTACAATTTTTTGCATGAAAATATGCTAGTTATGGAGATTCTATATGTAAAGAAGCCAGAAATTTTCTCAGAATTCGAACAAGGGCTTGTACTTTCAAACCCCATTGTTCCTTTCATCATTCAATGATTAAAAATAAGTGTTTTAGAAAGACATTTCAACTTGCCAAGTAGAAATATCCCAGCAGCATGGCAGGTCTCGTGGTGGAACCAAGTCAGCACATTTAAGGTAACGATAGATATATCCTGCTGATTCGACTCATTTTGAATTGGTTCATGAACTAATGAGTCCCAAGCCAAGTCATACTTTTTGATCATTGGTCATAATTAAAACAAGACAGACATCCACAACATTACGTTTCTGAAAAAGAACAACCGTCCACAGGATTGAAACACATATTGCTCAGAAATAGTTGCTCATAATGCATTCTTTTATAGAATATATATAACGAGAGGCCCTCAATTTAAGGATGTTTAAAGCAGCGCCCTGAAAGCCCGAGCCGAGCTACTTGGGCGAGTCAACTTTCTCTCACCCACATCCATCTCAAGCCAAGGAAAAAAAAAAACCCTAAAAGTGAAAAAATAAATAAAATCCAAAAAATACACAAACAAAAGAAATATATAAGCCATGAAAAAAAAACACATTGCGTCATTTCCTAGAAAAACAATAAAAAAAATCCAAAATATGGGAAAAATAAGAAAACTAGAAAAATAAAAACCATAAAATTAAAAAAAATAAAAACCATAAAGTATAATAAAAGTACATGCAATGTTAATTACAATTCAATCAAAAATTATTCACTACAATCACATACATGAATTTAGATTGAAAAAATCAAATTTACCCTAAATTTTATGCACTTGGTGTGAAACTATGCCTCCAGTCCTTCTCAAAGCTTCCTCTGACAACTCAAGTCAAAAACTTCCAAACTAGTTATGCGTTTTGAATTTGGAGAGATCCAAGCTCTTGAAAAATTCTAATGAACCATAAATCCAAACTTCAAATCTCTTAACTTATAATAAAGAGAATCAAGCCTATGGTTACAATTGAATGTGAAGAAATTGCAATTTTCAAAATAAGGCAAAAACTTGTTCAAATTTTTTGATCTTAAAAAATTACAAAAATCCAATTTTTCCTCCATTCTAACGTTTCTGATAGATAGATCATACAAAAATCTAGCTATATGCTCAAATTGGCTCAAATCAAACACCCTAGGGCTCAAAATTGGAGAATATAAGGGGGAAAAAAAGAAGGGGTTTTTCTTTTGTGTGTGTGTGGGGGGGGGGGATGGGTTATTTCCGCTGCCCCTTTATTCTATTGGGCTTTTATGACCTTTAAAGCTTGTAAGAACATGCAAATAACATTTATAGTGCATTGTCCACTTTAGTATGGGTGTGACTAACCTAGGGTCAGGTGGCCTATGACCCTGGTCATGCCTAAAACCCTTTCCCCCTGGGAATATAGCACTTTTGTAGATAGTCTTCAGAGGATCGACACTTATGAAAGTTAGAGAGATGCCCTGGGATTATATTTGTAAGCCAAGAGAGCTTCTTAGTCTCCTGTGTGTAGATTTAGGACTATGAGACCAAGGGCTAAATCCTCAACAAACTTCTGCATTCCATGTACACATGATAACCACATACTGGGGAGTAACCCTAAAAAGAAATACGTGTAAATTTACATAGAGAGAGTCTCCCTTGCACTATAGTGATATGTACGTGTGATCTTCTCTAAAGGGAGAACTTGTAATCCACATTCTAGGACCGTAGTTTCTCTATTCATTAGCCCTTTGATGAGCCAATCCCCTGCATTAGACTATGGATCATGGGTCACTTTGGGTTGGTTTTAAAAGATAGTAGAGGACCACAGTTATTAGATCGAGTGGAGTGACAATGAGTTGACCCACTAGTACCAATCTATTTCCATAACTTTTGGTTAAATTTTATAAATTGTTCAAAATGTTTAAAATTATTTTGAGTAAAAACCCTTAAAGGGCATTTTAGATCATTTCTAGGATTGTCGAGGGGATCATAATAGCACATGTGGGGCCCTTTGATCCAGCCCCACATGTGCACCACACCCACATGTGTGGCATGCAGAGCCCATAGGGGCCCACACATCATGAATAAAGTGGGACACATCCCTCCTCTCTCTGCTTGAAATTATTTTAAAACGAAAAGAATAAAGTTTGGTTTTAGTTGGAAATATTTGAAAATAGATTTTGTGTCCTTATATTATGGAAGCCAAACAATATTTTGCTTTTCAAAAATATTCTTTAAATTTTTGACCAAATATTTTGACTTTGGCTTCCCACAATCTTGTGAGATATAAGGGAGTTCTAGAAGATTATGGTTTGATTGTTCTTATTTGAGGTGAACTAGAAGTGGATGTAGAGTCAAAGATTCAGGGGATAAGTTTCATAGATTCCTTTCTAAATCATGATGGTTGATTCTTGGGATAGATGGCTCAGATTTGCTTTTCTTTTACCTCACAGATTACCTAAAATCCTATTAGTCAAGATGAGCCATAATTAGATGAGGCATACCTACCCCACCTTGAAGGCTAAATAAAGGAGGTCTCTCCATTTCTCTCTATAAGTTTGGATCTCTCTAGATATTTTATTTTAAATTTTTAATGAAAAATATTTTTAAATAAGTTAAAATCAATTTTTGGATTTATTTATTTCAGAGGGAAAAAAATATTTATTGATTTCTAAAAATTATTTTTATTAATCTAAAAATAATTTGAGGGTGTTAGGGCACATTAGAGCCTTGGGCCCACCTTATAGGAGCCCAGTTGGGGGGAGGACGTGGGACCCACATAGGGCCACCTCCTTGTTAACTCATTATGTGGCTTGTCAAGCAAGCCTTTCTAGATGGTTTTGAAATAATAGGAAATTGTTATTAAATAAGTTTGATTGTTTTAAAAGAGGAAAGTGTAGAGATTGATGAAAATCAAATAAGTAAATATCTAGTATTTTCTTTATACAAATATTTGATGGGAATAGAGTTTTGAAAACTGAGAGATAATGGTTCTAGCTCATTCCATTAATCATGATGGTTGATCTAAAGAATGAAGGGTTAAGATATCCTCACACCACGGGTCTCTAAGATCTACGGTCAAGATTAAGTTCGTAATGATGGCAAAACCCTAGACCCCAAAACCCTAGCCTCTACTTTATAATATTATCTATGGAGTTCCATTCTCTACACTTGTGAATGTTGGTATCTTTCTCTCCTTAGGCAGGTATGCCCCACTCTCTCTCTCTCTCTCTCTTGCTCTCTTCTAATTTAGGGTTTTGAATTATATTGTGTGTAGAGAAACCCTAAGGGGCCACGCCTCAACCACATGGGGTGGCACGCCCTAGCAATTGATGTATTGCTTGAGCTTCTGCCTTGAGTTCGTGTATCTTTCATCTCATGTCATGCTCTCATATTTGAGTAAGGGTTTTGCCTAAGCTTCCTGAATTATGACACAAGGTTAGTATCAAGATCTCGTGTTCCATTGGTGGAGGAGACCCGGTGTAGGGTGTACAAAGTCCTTGGGGGTAACCTAGTATTCAGTAATTCTAATGGCTCCATGTTTCTTCATTCTTCATGCATAGTATTTTGTTTGATTGTAAAGAATTATAATGGCATGCAAGAGATGACCATAGATTGTATTAGGGTTTATTTTATAAAATAAAGTTATAATTTTGCAGCTGCAACTGTTCTAGCTGGTATGAATAAAAGAAAAAAAAATTAATTGTATATACTTGGCTAGATCATATTGTCCACCTTTCAGTATAACACTTGGTTGAGTTTGTACAACAGCCACCCGATTATTGAATAAGATACCCCATTTCAGGCTTAGTAAGACTCACCCAAGTCTGAGTCGACTCGGGGGATTTTTCGAATGCTGGCTTAAAGTTGCACATAACCATAAGATTCAGTAAGAGGGAATTCAATAGGTCAAAAGGCAAAAAATTGAGTCAGTTATACATAATGAACTTCAGCATAATAGATCATGATTGTCAGTGTATTGCATGTAAAGGTGTGTCAAAACCTTTGAAAGAAAGTCCTGCTTTAATCAATAAACACTTAGTCGAGATATATGTACATCAGACAATACTCACTCAATCATGAAGATGCTGAGATTTTCATATGGTTCTAGCCCTACTTACAACCCACCACTTTCCGTACCAAAAACCATTGAGCAAATTAAAGCCTTAAAAAGGAGTCACTCAAATCCGAATTCCTTTTGAGCCAAATTTAGGTTATTCCAAATTGGTTTATACTTCACTCTCAATCTATTTCTTAACTATACATGTGTCTATACATGACTACAAAGCATGCGAGAAGACATTCGTAATCCACATACCTCATCAAAAATCCACCTCTCTACACCACACTCTTTCAAAAGATTAATGTATTTGAACAACAATCCAACTATATCTTCCATGTGTTCTGTAATAAAAGATTGATAGAGTGAGCATGAAAGCCAGAAAAGATCAAGGATCAACTGAACCTTAGAATGGATAAAGAACTGAACTTCATTGAGATTAAAATAAAGCATTCAATCAATGATAAAACGGATTTGTCACTGAATTGGCCACAACTAATGAGAATCCATGTTGATTACAATAGGAACATAAAAAGCTCATGAAGAAATGATAAGTGCCAAGCAATAGAAATGTTCTATGAAATGAAAGTCCCACCTTGACCAGCATCTGTAAGATGGATAGAAACTACAAAGAAAGAATACTCATTAGTCCAGTTGCCTTCCCCTGCATAAAGGCTAGTAGCCCATCCTGAAAAATCAAGTTCAAGCATAAGAAACCTCTCCAAGATGCACAAACCTTATATATGATGCCACACCCAAAAAATTCGATTTCGTGCAACAAAAAAAACAATGCCAAATTAACTGCCTCTTTTGAGAATAATTATATGGAAATATAAATACATCACAAAAATGCTAGAAAAAATAAATGTTCCAACATACACAAGTGATAAAATGAACAAGACACTCTTATACACATACTTACATCACATATTCATACATCTGGTGCCCAATGTTACCTCAATATCGACAAACTGGTCAAAGATGTCTAACACAGCACCACAAAATCAAGACGTGCAGCCAACACATCTGTATATAAATATAAGGGGCTCAGTTTTTACCCCCAAACCATTAGTAACTACACCCATCATGCCACCTCACGAATTACCCAACAAGTTTCATTGGTGAAGGGATTAAATTTAAAACTTAGTCTTGAGAAATTGAATCTTTAAGGCACCAGATTTTGGCTTGACCTCTCTTGATGTACCCCTTTTCTCTCTCCCAAATCTCTCTTTCTCCAATGGAGAGTTTGCAAGGCATCATATTTCGTGTTTCTTAAGAAATTTAGTCTTCCATGGGGTTCGATGGAATACCACATTTCTGATTTTTGGGAAATGTCGACTTCCCTTCACTCGAGCATTTCCAGTTGCCTTACTAGGAATTGATGCAGTGAACAGGAAATTTTGGCTTCTTGCATCGAAATTGCCAACTGCCCCCTTGTGGAAGAGTACACAGCAGTTAGCAAGTGATATAGTCCCTTTTCAAGTTCTCTTTAATTGTCATTCGTAGTGGATTTAGTCTGCTAAAAAATTTAATAGAGATATTCATCAAATTTATCTTCTGGCCTGAAGCTTCCTAGAATTTATTTATGGTACTATGAAAACTTTTAACAGCTTTAACATAAGTCTGCCCAAACATTAGAATGTCATAACACAAAGCAATTGATGAATTATTTATAGATCAGAAACAAATATATACAAAACCCAAAAATTCAAAACCATTTACCAAGAAATGCAGTAACCAAGGTTTGCATCAGCATAAAAAGTCAAAGCATAAAAATACATGTTCTTGTAAAGTCATAACTACAAAGTTTGACTATGCTTCCCCAAAGAAAAATGCTTGTAATGCACACACTTGCATATATAATTAAAGAACAAGATGACGTACATACTATAATATGTTCACCTTTGTACGACAATAACAATAAATATGAGAAATTTAATGCTTCATCATGGTCTTTGAGAAAGAAGCCCAAACATATAATAAATAACCGACAACGCACAAATTAAATAGTATAGAATAATATGCAAAAAGAGGTACAGGAATTTTCAAATTTATATGACTTTTAAAGGAAAAATCACCCAATCACGTAATCAACTAAGAAGCCCAAACATATCCTGAATAATAGACAACACACAAATTAAATAGTATAGAATAATATGCAAAAAGAGGTACAGGAATTTTCAAATTTATATGACTTTGGGAGGAAAAATCACCTAATCATCTAATCACCTACTTTAATTCTTTAAAGAGAGGGGGAAAAAAAAGCCTAAAAGAGAAACGTTAGGATAACAAGGATCTACCATACTCAAATAAAGAAATTAATTAAAAGGGTAATTCATCTAGCCACAGAGCAGGATCCAGAACCAACCAAATTTTTTCAGAAGGAAAAAAAGAGATCCCTCAGCTTCATGCCCAATGAGATGACTAAGGTACATACAAGGTCCCTCTTTGTAATGCCATATGTCTGGAGTAACTGGCCATACGATACGTAACTTGTGACCTTCTTTCACAGGGACAGCCCTAACGAGAATCTGACACAAAAAAGTGATAAAATGAGAATAGGGATCAGGCAAACCCAAAGGAGTATTAGCATTCACATAAATTACAAATTCATTGTTCAGCTAGAATAAGACGGTACTCTGGGAAACTAGATATACATCCAAAAAGAATATTGCACATTTTGAGAAGATATCTTTTAATTCTGGGGATTGGCATTAACATAAACTTATTATAGTAAATATAGTCATCATGCTCATATAACTACCTGAAGGTGCTCAGAAGCACAAGGATGGCCACGAAATATAGAGCAGCTTCTTTCAGTATTCCTCACTGCAAGGAACTTCTCTTCTACTAGTTTTTGAATGTCATCAAGGCAATCTGAAAAGAGATTATAGAACAGGGCCGGTTTAACTAACCAGTGGAGCTATTTCAATGACAGATGTCTTTTGTATAGAAAAATCAGCACCATACCAGGTTTGCATTACAGAAAAGATAATCACTTACCTCTCCCATACACAACAAGATGCATAAGATTTGCTGAGTAAAACTTCTCATAAAATTTGAGAAGTTCATCTCTTGTATCCAGCCCTCTTGATTTAGGTCCTACCGCCAAAGTACTCAAATTTCCTAAAAATTATGAACAAGAAATTCCAAAAGATTATATATCGTTCAATAGATTACCATAATAGCCACAAAACAAAGATACAAGCAATATTAATAATTTGAGCTACAATATTGACTGAAATGAAATCAACAAGATACAATAGAAGTAAAGGAGAGGAGTTCATTTCACACACAAAAAAAGGAAAAGGTGAGTCCCATATCAATCAATTATAGCTTACTAACCTCAAAGCTATCTCAAACACAAGCCCAAATCACATGCCACAAAGACAATCATGACACAGAGCACTTGAAGAAAGTGACATGCATTTGGAACCAGAAAAGAGAAGAATATGTATAACTCCCACCGAACGGACAATAATTTGCTGCACCACTACCAAAGTTAATTTCTATTGAAGGCACTTCAACCTACCCCAGAACCTTAAAGAGAACCATGTGATCCATCTATATGTACAACAATGCTACATTTTTCACTGGCCCGATAACCCAAGAAACAACACACACAGGGCTAGCCTACATTCAACCAATTGGATAATGGAATCCCGAGTGTGACTCTTACTTAAAGATGGACAATATGGTCTAGCCAAGTATCTACAGTTAAAAAATTTTATTTTCTTTCTTCTATTCATACCAACTAGAACACTTATAGGTGTTCAAAATTACAACTTTATTCATAAAAGATACCATAATTCAATGACTCTTGCATGCCATTGCAATTCTTTATAATCTCATAAAAATACAATGAATGAAGAATCAAAAAACATGGAGCAATTAGAATACCAAATGCCTTGCCTCAAGTTACCCCCAAGGACTTCATTCACCCCACACCGGGTTTCCTCCACCGATGGCCCACGATATCTCGATCCAAACCTTGTCACATAATTCGGGAAGTCTAGGCAAAACCTCTTAGAGCATTTATAAAGAAGAGGCTAGGGTTTTGGGGTCTAGGATCTTGCCATCGTTAAAAGACTTAATCTTGACCGTAGAGCTTGGAGACCTCTGCGGTGAAGAGATCTTAGCCCTTCATTCCTTAGATCAGTCATCATGATTAAAAGAATGAGCCAGAACCATTATCCCTCAATTTCTATAACTCTATTCCCATCAAATATTTGTTTAGAAAAAATACATCAATCTCTACACTTTCCACATTTAAAACAATCATCCTTGATTTGAAACACTTTCCTAATATTTCAAAACCATTTAGAAGGCTTGCTTTACAAGCCACTCATTAAGGAAAGGAAGAGGGAGGGCCGTCCCACCATATATGGCCTATGTGGGCCCCACGCCCCCCCTTAAGGGACTCCTATGTGGTGGGGCTAAGGCTCTAATGGGCCCCCATACACTCAAATAAATTTTAGATTAATAAAACTGATTTTTAGAAGTTCCAGCCCATCGCAGGGGTTCATGCTTGGACCATCAAAGTCAGCCAATAAATGAAGGAGACATGATCCTAGCCCATGGATTACAGGTCTCTCCTTGAGGTCAAGTCTAGTCTCCATTCTAATACAATCAAGTGCTATAGGGAGACATCTCTTTGGCATATGTACACGACACACCCTCACCCAGAGGGCTGCTTTCCAGACAGCTATCTAGTGTACATGTCGTGCAATGGTAATGATGAGGATTTAGCCCTTGTCCTCTCCGGTCAACCACCGCACAAAGGGGTCATACCTAGTCCCTTAGCAAACTACCCTGGACATAACTCTGACCTCATCAAGAGATGACTCCACATCGAAACCCTTATTGGCTATGCACAAATGCCCAGGGCTATGGATTTTTAGACATCAACCTGAGTCATAGCCTATCAAAACTCAGGTAACTTACAGCATTAGCGATGCCTCACATTCCACCCTGGACCATGCCACACAATCCATCAGGACGACACTCCCACTGGAGTGATCACATCACTATAGTCATAGTTTTATATGCTCTCATAAGGCCTTTAAATGGCCACATAACCCCAACACTTAGGACACCAATAAACAAAGGCAATACAAAATAAGATGAAAACAGTCAAGTATAACTTCCATGTAGCTCCCAATGTCCACATAGATAAAGCCCTCAATATCCAAGACTGTAATCTTTATTACACCAACATTGATATTTTGACCGCTATACCGTTTAGAAATATTTTTAAAAGAACCAAAGAGCCAAGTCCTGCCTAGGGAGGTTTGACCAAATATTTTGGTGTCCTAAGCAGAATGTATGTGGAAGATTCTTCCAAAGCACCACTTGCCTGAAAACCATGGATGCAACCAATTCAATTGGCTCTCAACAATGATATTATAAGTGATTCTATGACAATGGTGAAGAGAAAGGAGAACATATCACCCGGACGTAAAGGAACTCTTCTATTAAGGGAAAGATTCTGAAACCTTTGAAGCCAAACCTACCAAATTTGTCACATGTAATAGACATTGATTGCCTAAAACTATTTCACATAATGTGTCTCCTTATGAAGGGTTAATTCAAAGGCATGTTGACCATCCTTATGAGTTTTTGAATGTGCTTTGTTTGTTCTCCATCCACATAAAAGAGATAAACCATCCACAAAATCTATTAAGTACATATTTTATAGATATAGGACGTCCTACAATGATTGTCATTTATTTTGATCCCCTTCACCTCGCATTAGTGTCTCTTATAGTGTCCTATATGGTCCTCAAACTACATCAAGATCTTTCATTATACTATAGTTGAGAGGTTGAACTATACCCAAGAAAATGTTTAGTGCAAAATGGAAATCAGTGACCAAACTCAAGAACTTATCCATGTTGTAAGGCTTCTAGTTCAACAAGCAACCACCCATGAGCCTTCTCAACCTTATGTTCCTCCATAATGTGTTACAGACCCCTTTCTTTCTCAACACTTAATTTATATTCCTAAGTCTCTACCCTAAGAGCATTGGCATCAAGCCGTGGATGAAGGGCTAGCTAAAGTGAAATTACGAAGTGATCCTAAATTGTAGTACATGGGTACCAATCAATAACATAGAATTAACTAAGGGGAATTTTGCCCATGTGGCTAAAATGATCACAATAAAACCCCTTACGATCCTTCTTAAGGGTTCAAGTGTTTCATCCTAAATGAGTATTGGGGTTTGTAGCCTTTAAATGCCGGTACACTTGATTCTTTGATGAAAGCTCTATTTTATGTTCCCCATGCGTATGTGCTTATGGCTTTATGGCTATAGATTACTCTCAATCTAAGTGGGAGTGCGTGCTACTTGGTAAATTGGGCATGAGTAGGGAGCCAAGCTCTAACTGGACATAGTGGGCTCCATCACTCTCGCAATAGCATGCGACTGGGCCTTGGCCCTGGGTTGATTGTGTTTAGTCCCATAATACGCATCGCTTAAGAGACTCAATAAGTGCCTTAATGAGGTCGATTGACCTGGAGATGAAAGAGGCTATAGTGGTCTACGAAGTTTAGTGGTTTGTGAGGACAAGTGCGTGGAAACCTCGACAATGTTATCCTATACAGCATGTGTGCCAATAGTTGACTCGAATCTGAGTGAACCTGAAGTTTTGTTTTTGGTTTATGCAACCGTTAGCATGCATGTGCCATTTTGTATAATTATTTTGGTTTGTGCACTAGACCTTAATATTGTCCTTGAATACAGTACCTAATATCCATATCTATTTGTGGACTATGGTGTTTCTTGTTAGGGTTGGTGGCCTTTAAAGGCCTAGAGAGATTAAAGTACAATTATTTATAATGATTTGTGCACTTCAATGGAAGTGCACTGTGGTTGACTGATCTAGGGTTGGCCCGGGTTATGTCCAACACCCTTACCTCTAGGCATGCGACACTACCATTAAGGGTTTATATTAGGTCATCCCTTGTTGAAGTTGAATAGATGCCAAGGGACATTGTTTATAGGCCAAAAGAGTTGTGTGGTCTCCTCTATATGAAGGCAGAGAGTGAGGGCCAAATCCTCAGTAAAACTTCTGCACGACATGTACATATGACAAACACGTTTTGGAAAGAAACCCTATATGGAGGGATACGTGCACATGTGCATAGAGAGCACTCCCTTTCACTATATGTGCATTTGACTTGCTCTTAGAGAGGGAACCTTTAATCCACATACTGGGACTATAATCATATTGTTTATTGGCTAATTTTAACAAGCCAATCATTAGCCCCTATACTTGACTATGGGTCATGGATCTCGTTGGGATAGTTTGAGAAGATAGTTGTGGATAATAGATTCTAGCATAGGTGGAGTTCCCTGATATTCACTTCTTTTTTAACCCATTAGGCACCTATCAACTTCTAAGTTGTACTTCTGTGTGTTTTGTTTTTTTTGTGGAACTTCAAAAAACATTGTTTTCAACTAAAAGTGTGGTACTATGAATTTTGGGAATTTCTTAGAATTTTAAAAATGAATTTTAAATGTGTAAAACCCCCAAAAGGGTATTTTTGTATTTTTAAATAATAGGGGTATTTTAGCAATTAGAAATTTTATGTGGTACAACATGAAGAGGCTCCCCACACTTGTGGGCCCCACATGGTGAATGTCATGTGGACCCCACAAAGGGCACACGTTCCACTTTATGGGACGCCCTGTTTCTTTCTTGCTATACTACCTCATGACAAACGGGCATTGAGTTACTATTTGGTCTGAGACTTGCTATACTACCTAATGACACGGGCATGAGAATGCTGAGATAATATTTCTTATTTGTTATGTTTGAGTGGGACTTGTTAACAATCCCACGATTATTTTTTAACTGCTTGGATATTCAGATATACAGGTATCCTATTATGAAAGATCCAAATGAACTCAATATTCAAATCGGAGCACCTGCTTATGTTTGACGGGCCAGTTGGGACAACATACTATTGTTCACCTATGGAACCTGGATGCGTGGTGCTAATTGTATGGCTACAAAAGGAAGCAGCTTGATTGAAGAACTGCTTTAAGCCCATGAAGATACGACCCCATACGATGAGGGTATGTGATGATCTTCTACAACAACAGGTCCATAATTCGCAATACG